AGCAAGCAAGCAAGCAAGCAAGCAAGCAAGCAAAGGAAGCTTAACAGAATCAGGACAAATATGCCACCCTATTTGTATTTTGCTGTTTTCTTCTAGTTCATATCTAGTTCATATTGGGTTTATTGGATCCGGTAGAGTAGGCCAGCAGAAAATTCAAAATGTAGGATGAATAAAAATACCTTTTTTGTGACCAAATATTCCTACTCTCATGACCTTGTACCCCTTGTATTTGGTTGGATAAAATCTAATATACCGTGCTCTGGTTCTGGTAATGGAATTCTTAACGTATGAATTATGGTTTGTGTTTGCAGTAAATATCTAAAATAACAAAAAAATGTAACATGTTAATTAGAAACATACTTTTGGTCAAATATTTTAATAATAATATATGGTTAAATAGAATTTAGGCAAAGTTAGACTCGATCTGAGTAGCAGCGAATAGCCTACATTAGCCGCTGCTTTCCATTTGTTGTCTGTACTCTGTCCACCTATATACGTAGAACATACGCTATCACAATCACACGCTATTCTGGTGTGATCACGATAGTATTTAACCTTTGGTCGGTAGTCACCGTGATATTGATCAACGCGCTATTGATTGCTTATGGGTCAACTCGAATTCACTATCCATGTGATAATATATCACGCTATGACCAACAATCGTATGCATTACGATATTCGCTATCGCTAGGCTCTGGCAACCATACGCTAAACGCTATATTTGTTTTTTCCCGTCCTCCCTCCCTATTGTAGGTATATATAGGTAAGTATTCCACTGACCAGACCAGTGTGACAGGTGCACGGTGAGTTGTGACAGTTACCATGGTAACAGGACTTTATATGCCAGACCCCTCTCATCCCACCGACAAGCACCTATAGACGTCAAGCTTATCTACTGTCCGGGCACTACCGGGAGCATACATTTTCTTTCAGTAAAAGCATTTTTACAAAACGTTTTACACAGCCAAAAAGAAGAGTTATCTGCATTTTCAGGCATTCTTTCCAAAATTTGGTCATGTTCTATTAGGAAAATAATAAAATAAAAATAAGAAGGACCACAGTATTTAAAAAAAGAATCATCTCGTGATGATCTGTGAAGATTCCTTCGACTCTATTCGCATCCTGCTAAAAATGAATTCTTTAGATCGATATGCTGAATAGAATACCTTATCGGTGCCATCCTCTTTATACGGCATCCAGTTCTTGTTGTCCAGCGAAACGGTGATCTTATACTCTGTCACCCATTCTTCGCCATTACCCCTACCCTGTGTCGCTACAGCACAGATAACGTAAGGAAATCCAAGGTCAACCTGTAGGTAGTCGCTTGGATTGGATGTCGTCTTTGGGGCCCAGCCATAACTAGCATTAAGCCTGCCATTAAAAGGGAGGCCGAAAGGATACGATGAGGACGATGCTGTGAAACTGCTGTCAGGAATAATGTGTTTGTTTTCAACGCCTATCGATGTGTTGGTGCAATCTAGGAAATAAAGTAACATTATCTAAGTCTTATTATCAAATGTATTATAATTACATAGTATTTACAATTGCAATGATTTATATATTAGCTAGTTTACTGTATTGGAGAATAAAGGTATCAATATAGAGAACTCAAATTATGATCTATATCCGGGTCTAGCTGCTCACAAAAAATTATATGTATATATGGAACTTTTTTTTCCTTTTGTAATAATTAACTTTGGACCCGGAAGTCATTTTTCCGTACCAGTAACGTACACATGGTGCGCCGCACTTCAAATTTGATATGAATGTATTGAAAGAGGCAATATAGTGTAAAGATATATAGTGTGTAAGAAGGAAAAACTATTACTTTCCACTCGGATTCGTATGTGACATTCTATCCCTCTTGACTTTACAAATGGAAATTCGTAAAACTAGAAACTTGAATGTGCAACCGGACATGTCGAAAAAACACGTGCTTCCTTGAAGCTTTGAACGAGCCTCATAGTCGGCAAACTGATCATCAAGGCTATATCAGTTTATGGGGAATATCGAAAATGATGAGAGAGCAAGATTTGACTAAGGAAGAATTTACTAAATTTCACTGAAAAACAAATTTGTTTCCGTTTCCTGTCCCCCTAAGATTCTGCTCATCAATGCTTGAGTGAGAAAAATCAATGGATTGACGTAAAAACTTAAAACTTAAAACTTGAAACTTGTAAACGAGTTTTGTAGTAGTCGCTAATCAAACCTGAAGTGATATTAAGACATTACTATTGACCAATATAAAAAAATATGATTGACATTTGGTGAATCGAGAGTGTACAGCAATACCTAGCTAGCTTGAGGTAGGCATGGTAATAGTTGATAGAAATCTCGCTTTGATAATCATTACATTTTCACACAACCTATCTTTTCAAGCAAATTCGTGGAATGTATACGACTGGTCACAAGCAATACAATACTTGTTTTGATTGTAACCAGGAATCAGGAATGGGAATTACTGATTTACTTATGCTAGCTATACGTACTTACCAAGCACAATCGAAACTCCTGGAGCGATGGAAACAAATATTAATAATAGGAGCATAGAAAAAGCCTTTGAACGAAAGACAAAAGATAGAAACGAAGCAACCATAACAGCTTTCAATGGAGACGAGGAAGAATTCGATATGTAAAGACTTCAAGCGAGAACCACGAGTTCTAGCTTGAAGAGCTCAGTGTCTGCCTAAGAGGATGGGTGAGCCAGCTTTTATATAGTTTTGGTGACACGCTTCAGTTGTCATTCATCATAAGTGGAAATACGAGCACGTTTTCAAAAGTGTTAAGGCAATGTGATGCCAATTATTAGCGTAGCAAGCATATAGCGGAAGCTGGTTTCCTTGTATTACGGTGTGTGCATGACGGAATCGAATAATACGAAAATGTCATAGCAGATTGAATATAAACTAACTCGATTTTGTTTTGTTTGCATTGATTTTTCTTTTTTATGCCATTTCATTTCATTACATTACATTACATTTCATTTCATTTCATTTCATTTCATGCCATTTTTCACTTTCCTTTCCTTTCCTTTCCTTTTGGCCTTTTTGATGGACCTTTTCTCAAAATTTTCTTGGATGCAAAGCAAACAGAGAAATACAAAATACTTTCCATCGAAAAAAAAAGTCTGATTCTTTTGTATTTCCACTTTAAGCATTAAGCATGTAGTGTATGCGTACGTATTTCCTATCATTATTAACAAACAAATTGTACAATTTCCTTGGGTGTGTCTTTGTGTTTTTGTAAGATAAACTCATCATGCATGCATAGTCAACTCAAGTTTCTTCTTATGCGCAACCGTAGGAGGGGAAGGATGCTAAGAGTTTCCAGCCATATCCAGGTGCGAAACCCTAACTTATTACGTTATCGTTAAAAAACTATCAAATCGATAGAAAATATGATTTAATTTAGCATCCTTCACAAAAAAGAAAGCATATGATTTTTAGTTAAATTTTTGCCCTCCCCCCCT